ACGCACCCAAGGAGAGGTACTTGGTCGAACAAAACATTTATCCAGTAATTCTTTCAGTTGCGACATTAATTCCTTTAACTCAGACGGAGCTAGCATGTATGGTGCACGTGCAACTGGCTCCGCTCCAAGCAATAACACAATCTGGAATTCTATTGATCTATTAGGAGGTAAACTTGTTAAGTCTTCTGGAAATACTTCTGGAAATTCTCTTACAATCGGGATATCCTTCATCTTATTCTTTTCTTTCTTTAAATCAATTGCGTAAGCAAGAAAATTGATACATCCCTTCTGCACATACTTTCGAGCTTTTAAAACAGAAATAAGGTTGGAATAACGATCCCGCCTGTCACCATAGATTATAACCGGTCCCTTCCCCGGTAAATCTATATGAATCATCTTCTCTTTGTAGATTATATTGGATTGCTTTTTTAGCCAACCAGTCTATGCCCACGATTTTATCAAACTCTCTTAATGGTAATGGAAATAACAGTGTGGGTACCTCACACCCTTTTACGTTTATGGAACAATCATCAAAAACTTCTTTAACCGACACTTCACTATTATCAACTATTTCTACTATCAATACCTCATCTAACACTTTAGATTCTAAATGCGCACAACCAATAAATGATGGTGACACGAAAGAACGATTTGCACCAGAATCAAATAAAACTGTCACATACTAAATTAACGAAGAATGTATTTGTCACCACTTTAGGATGTTCTTCAGCCTCGCCTCTCGTCATCTGAAAGGCTCGTCCTCTAGCCATTGCCTCACCACGTCTTATTTCTCCATGACCGCTAGGGACATTACTATTAACCATTGGCCCGCGACTGGGTGGAGCATAGCCAAATCCTCGGCCCCCAGAATAACTAGATCCTTGTTCCCCAACAAAACCATATCCATGTCCCTTAGCTTGCGGGCAATCAACATTTACATGTTGAGAAGAATTGCATTTAAAGCATCTTCGTACCATACGACAATCTCTGGATATATGCCCTAATTCTTGACATTTAACATGTTCGTGACTCAGTGTTGCATTGTCCTTGGTGTACTTTATGACATCGCACATATGCTTTATCAACAAATCTGGAGATTGGTCGATTCAGACTTTCAGCAAATCTAGGTCTACGAAAATCAGTTGCTACTGCTTCCCCTTTCCTTTTATCCTCAACCCTTTCTTGTGGTTGATGATTGATATCTTGTTCCAAAATTTCTGCAGCATCAATTGCTGCTTGGAATGTAGTCGGGTTTCTGGATATTACATACTTCTGGAGATTAGACTCCAAACCCCAAATATACTTCCTAACTTTACTACTTTCAGTAGCAATATATGCCTCAGCAAACCGAGACTGTTCCATAAAAACCTCTGTACACTGACGAACCGTCATATTACCCTGTTCCAATTGAAGGAAATCGTCCTCTAGCTTTTGAACAACAGCTTCAGAACAATAATGAATTTTAAATTTTACCACAAATTCCTCCCACAACATAGTCTTTAAAATATTTGGATCAGAACTTGACAGAATTTCCCACTAATATAACGCGCTCGACCGCAACTTGGATACAACAAGCATCACTTTATCTTTTTCTGCACTTTTACTGGTCTGAAGACTTAATTCAATTTTTGTAAGTCAACACATGGCTTTAACAGGATCACGTTCTTCGAAAAACTTAGGGGGTTTACAGGCAAAAAACATCTTGATATCCCCTCCTTTTTGTATCGACGATGAAGTAGGTGGTGTGGACGTTGTCGTTACCGGTATACTGGCTCCGGCTTCTTCCTAAAACTTCAGGTTCCTTACTCCTTCTGGGTTATTCTGTGCGGAACGTCCCAACAAATTTACCAGACTTTCCTGAAAATTTTCCAGTTCAGCTGCCAACATTTCTTGGGTAATAAAACCAGGGTCATGAGCACAACCTCTACCCCTTGTTCTGCCCCGTCCATGACCTGACATAAAACTCTCTTGCGTTGATAATTCATGTTATGTATGGGCTTCTTGTTGAGTATTTCTTTCTCTTCCTCGTCCCCGACCTCGACTTCGTGTTTTTTACCATTCCTCTTCCCTGGCCTCTTCCATGGCCGGTAGAAGTTTTTCCAGATCGATTGAGATTATCTGCCATTCTTTCTTAATACTTGTGTTACTTTAACGTCCTTATTGTCACAATATACACATATACGGTTAATCACATACCAAAATATGATAACATGTTTACCCATAGATCAAGAATCTATAACTCAAGATTACATCAAGATTACATTTATCTTATGTAATCTAACTCTATCATACTTATCATCATAATAGGTTCAGTCATAACACATTCCCATGTCCATAATCCCAGTGGAACCTATTATCACATACTCCACACCTCTAGTTTAAGTCTAAGTATCAATATAATACCTAGGTCTCTTCAACCTGTCACTGATACCAACTGAAACAACCCACCAAGCATGAAACAGTACTAATACACAAAATAATATCATACATCTCCACATTCTCCATACCAATCTTATACAAACATTCCAAGGTGATTTACATGTCAAAATAAGAGTATGGATTAACAAAAATTTTATCGGATAATAACACTTTCTTCGAAATATCACTTCTTTCCATTTATCCCTTGCCTTTATCCTGAGATGATGGATGACCTGCAAAACAAATTAGTACAACAATTGAGCGTTAGACCAAAAAGCCTAATGAGCGAATTACCCTCTCATAAACATAATTTACTTCAAAACCCAAGATAGATCAAACCTGAATCTTAATGTAACATTTATATATTAGATACACAACCATTTCATCTATCGCGGTTACACCGCCATTTCAACTATCACGGTTACACCGCCATTTCATATATCGCGGTTACATCGCCATTTCAACTATCGCGGTTACACCGCCATTTCATCTATCGTGGTTACACTGCCACAACTATCGCAGTTACACCGCCATTTAACATTTCAACTATCGTGGTTACACCGCCATTTCATCTATCACGGTTACACCGCCATTTTATCTAACACTAGTCAACCAATTAGTACATAATTATTGAAGAGATTAATGTACCACTTTGACTTATCCGGACAACACCATGTCTAGAGAAGAGGTTACCGAACAATACCTTATTCTTATCTAGACAACATTCTGTCTAGTGAAGGGTTATCAAACAACCTTAAGTCTTGTCCGGACAACACTCTGCCAAGTGAAGGGTTATTGGACAACACAATGTACCTGGACAACCTTGATCGGTGAGGAATTCTATCCGAACAAACCTTGATCGGTGAGGGGTCTTATCTGGACATTGTGTATTCGGTGAAGGGTCCTTACCGGCTATCCTTGTGTGCGATAAAGTGGCCTCATCGGTCACTACCTTATCCAATGAGGGGCCTCATCGGACAAGCTTTGTCCGATGAGTTCTGTTCTTGAGAGATTTTACGAGCGATGAAGCAACAATAATCATAATACAGTTTAAATCCCATCAAAACAACATAAGCTAGAACTTTATCGAAATATATATATACAGTGAATATATAATAACCAGATATACTGAAAGTAGTAGGGAACTCACCTTTGCCTTAGCTTTGAAATCTGCTTTTGTTCTAAGCTTACCCAAGTTTTTCCCAGATCAATATGAAGAGTATGTTGAAAGTGCGTAAACTTTTCTTGTCCACACATACATACTATAAATAGTAAGTACATACCTGAGACTTGATGGGGGTGCCTACCATGCATCCTCTCCTGATACAATAATTTACACCCATTATATATATATATATATATATATGATGATATTTACCCAAATGAATTTAAAGAAAATAACCATAAACCGATTCCTTTCCAACCCTTGAATGACCACAACTAACCCCGACATTTCCATTACCAAATATTAAAGAGGTCATATGAGTTTGGGTAAATCAAATAAAAAAGATGGGGATCGTTTTGTCTTTCAAAAAATAGAATGAAATGAAATTGAATTGAGTTCCTTTTTCTTGTGATAAAATGACTAAGGGGCTGTTCGGTTTGTTTTCTGTTAAGACCTGTATGGATATAGTTGTCTGTATATTAACAGATAAGTTCATGTTTGGTTGTTGTGCTGAATAAACAGTCTGAATGTTAGAAATAACTATTTTACCCTTTAGTCTATATCTTTTCCAAAAATGGGGTTTTCCGGATTTATAATGTTTCCATTATACTCTTTAATTTGTTTCCAATCCAAGTATCCAAATCCAATCCAACCTCACGACCTCACCCTCGGTCCTCACCTCACCGACTCACCGTCTCACGTTTACTAAATCCAATCCAAAACCATTTTCAGAACAACTCAACAAGCGTGAAGAAGAAAACCTAATCGGTCGCATGTTCTGATGGACGATGATGTTGTAGGTCGGAGCAAATGAGGAGAAGGAGGCGACGGTGAGTGGCAAGGCAGAGGGCGGACGATGCACAACGAGAAATGATGTTGACAGTTGTTGAAGGCACATTTCTTTGATTCCATTATGAACCTCCAAGATTCCAGCTTCCTTTATCGGTGCTAAGTTTCCAACTGGAGGAAGGCAAACCACAAGATCGCCATCACTTGTTGGACGATGTGATATAACTCAGCAACTCATGTTTTCTAAATGGTAATTGGTCGCTCATTCTGATGGATGGTGATGTTGTAGATGAGGAGAAGGATGCGATGTGTTGAGGGAGCAGTGGTTATGGAGAGGGGTAATTGAGAAAAGTTAATAGCTGAATACAAAAGACATAGGTTTTGTAGCTGAGTGGTTCATCTATGGATTGACTGAATAAACCCATATTATACAAATAGATATGACTGTGTGAATAAGCTATATGTCTTACCGTAACCGAACAACCCCTAGATCCATTTCAATTATGATGAAATCACCAAATCCAAGAATCACAAAATACGTGGATTCAATACTATTTCTATAATTTGGCGATCGAAATTGATCCTCCAAATCGGCTAGTTCTTTCTAAAGATTCCAATTCATCCCCCTGCAAAAGAGGTCCTCGATGTAATTATTCTCGAGACAAGAAGCAACCATCATTAACATACCATCAACTCGAGTCTCTACGCCGGAGGAGAGAGGGATTTGATCGGAGCAACGAATTCGATTATACACACACGTTTGGCATCATCGATCTGATTCTCCTCCTCCTCCTCCTCCTCCTCGATCAAATTCAAATTCAATTCAAACTCAATTATGTCCCTTAATATGAAAACTCTGACCCAGGCCCTGGCAAAAACCGCTGCGGTAATTGAGAAGACCGTACAGGATGTCACCGGACCCAAAGCCCTCCAGGACTATGAGCTCCTTGACCAGATCGGCTCCGCTGGACCTGGCCTCGTTTGGAAGCTCTACTCCGCCAAGGCTCGTGGCGGTTCCACCCTCCTCTCTCATCAGTACCCTACCGTCTGCGTCTGGGTTCTTGACAAGCGCGCTTTATCGGAGGCAAGGGTTCGTGCGGGGCTTTCCAAAGCAGCGGAAGACTCCTTCTTCGATATCATCAGAGCTGATGCCTCCAGATTGGTTAGATTGAGGCACCCGGGAGTGGTTCATGTGATCCAGGCCCTAGACGAGAACAAAAATGCCATGGCCTTGGTCACCGAGCCTTTATTTGCTTCCGTAGCCAACGCCCTTGGTATATTGGATAACATTTCCAAAGTGCCGAAGGAGCTTCAAGGGATGGTAGGTATTTCAAAAGATTTGATTTAATTCCCATTTCCTTTCCAGTCTGCATCTTAGTGTTGTAGTTTATGTTTCCATGCCACAGTTCAAATACAATTCTATCTAATTTTACTAATGCCAGCCTAGATGAGTGTGGTGGTTGGATATGATATTCTTGGATGTTAACAAGTATTAAAATTTGTGGTTTTAACCATGTTTAATCCACCATTCAACGACTACAACCTTTCCATTCATACCGTCACCGAGCTTGAAATCTGTTCTGGCTTGGCTTTAAGCTTGTGCTGTTATGGACTAGACTAAGAAGATATATAACACACGTTATTATACATAATACGTTACAGTAGTCTATGCGGACATCTTCATACCATCATTGTATTTCAAGGTTGATTTAGTAGTAGTATGTGGTGTAACTATGATGTTTTCAACAAAGGCAAATGTGGTCGATAACCTTATTCTATGAGCATTTACTAATCCTAGGTTAGGACTCAACCTTTTCAAAATCTCAATTCGCAAGCTGGTAGAATGGGAGTAGATGCATTTTCTCAAGCCAAGCATGACGATAGAAACTTGCAAAGTATAGACCTCAATGACTATTGACATTTGCCAAGCGCAGACCTTAATAACTGTTGAAGTTTACCAAGCATTCTAATGCCATATTGTGATGTGAGAATGTAGGCTACATTGACAACTTAGTGAAAACCCATAAATTCCTTATTACTGAGAAATATTGACATAAAAGATATCGATTGTATGTTTGTATATTTAATAATACAATGATGGAGTCCTTATATTTGTTTATATACTACAGCCACTCTAACTATTCTAGGTAACTACACAATTAAGTAAAAGATACAACTAATAAAGAGCTAATATTTAACACTCCCCTCAATCTAGAGCAATTATATTGTATGTTCCAGGCTTGTTACAAATGTAACTAAGAGGGGGATGTGTGAGACTTTGTAATTTTGACAGCTTGTTGATCGTTGACTTGACATAACTAGTAGCAATATATTCTGAAACCATTTTCTCTTTCTTGTTATGTAGTTTGGTACAATTGTGACTTGGGATATTCTTAGTCTTGTTTGAGTTAGATGTACCATGGCAGCAAGCTAACAAGGCAACTATGCACTTCCCCAAGAATGAGATATATCTTTTACTTACCAAGCATGATTAGAGAATCTCTAGTGGAAGAACCTGAAATGAGGTTCTTCCCACTTTCTTCGGACACATCAGCACCTCCTCAACAAAATAAAACCCTAACAGAAGTCCACTACAGAAAATCTTCTACAACTTATTTGTGTGCCCGTGTTTTTTTATTACTTTTCAATGTCAATTTTATTACTTAATTTATGAGATCTCTAACAATTCGACAATTTTTTTATGAATATATAGTATTTGAAAAATAAATACAATTGGTATATGTTTTAGTTTACGATTTTTTGTACATTTTTTAAGTTATAAATTTTTATGGATTATATATTTTGTAAAACATTAAAAAACAAAAGAAACAAAACAAGCACGCCTTGTAAAAAACGCATGCCCTGGCTCGTCTCAAGTCTCCATGGTGTGAGCCACACCTTACACTAACACTATGGGCCTTTTCGTGAACCCTGCTTGTGTCTTACTTAGCATCTCATTTCTAGGTCCATGGATCCACTTTGTACTCTACTATTTCACACTTTGTTTGATGATACTTATGCTTTAAAAACCATATTCTTGGTGAATGCTTGTGGGGTCAGCAAAGATTCATCTTGTATTGAACATGAATGGATCATGAGGATGCAATTGTTTCTGGATTTTGTGGGAGATAAATAACGACAGGTTTCCAGTTGTGGCCTATGAACTACATTATCTAGCTTTAAAGGTGGCTAATGAAGTTAAGTGGTGTAGAGGTTGCTGTGAGCATGCACTGCAGCAACTTTATACGTCTAATTCAGCATGTAGATAGAATGTGGGTTATAGCTCTCATGTATGTAGATCTGACTATTTATGAAGATACATGATCTAGGGTAAATTGGACTTCTCCAAGCCAACAATGATCTACAGTTCTGTCTTTGACTTTGTTAAAAATATTTTATAAATTATAATAAAGAAAATCACTTATACTTTCTGCACATCACTAAATGTGTGCAATTCTGAAAAAGTACACTTTTTTTTTCTGTAGGAAATGGGTTTGTTGGAGGTGAAGCATGGTTTACTTCAGGTAGCAGAATCCTTGGACTTTCTTCACAATAATGCCCGCCTCATTCATCGTGCCATATCCCCTGAGGTATAGACAAATATCTTCCAATAACAGTTTATGCTTGGTAGTCACATGCATCTGCTTTTTAAATAGTACTCTTGAACAATGTTTTTTCTTGTTGATTTTGTGTGATAGCACTATCTGTAAATATCTGTGCTTGTGACTTTGAAGGCTTCTGAACTTCTTGAGCCTAAATCTGAATCTCATGATGCCCAATAGCACCTTGAGCCATATTAGTCAAACATTAGGCTATATGATAGGAATGACTGTCTCACAGTGAGGTATATAATTTGGTTGTCAGTAGTTCCTGGAACAGTGTTCACATGCAAAACAATCCTTAGACGAACACACACACACACACACACTCTCTCTCTCTCTCTTACACACAATGGGAGGGAGTAATAGTACAACCGTTTCCCATTCCCCCAATTTGTGATCATCAAAATAATGTTATGATGGAACCCTAATGTGGATTAAGATTGTCATAGTGCTGATAGAGGGTCTTCATGTTTACCATTTCTCATGTTTCAACTTTCACATTTTTGTATAAGATGCATGTGTATAGAAATAACTCTGGCCCTACATGTGCAAACACAATGCCACTTTATGATAGTGAACTTGTTAACCAAAAAGTGACTTGCACTTTGCACATTTGAAGTTGGTAACCAAAAACAGAAACTTAAAACTCAATGCCTGAGTTTCTGTACCTAAACTTCTAGAAGTCTGGCTATTTTGACTATGTTCAGTTACTTAGCCTTGTAGTATAGCATAAAATTACTAAACCTAATTCATATCAAGTATTCGAATGTCGAAACCAAAGGATTCTAATTAATGTTGCGCAAGCTGGAGATCCTATTTTTACTGCATGGGGGCATTTGATATGAATAGTAAAAGAATAACAAAGATAAATAAGAATTATCGATACTCATCGAAATTAGTAGAATTTTTCACTATGTTCTGTATGGATGACTTCTATCTCATTTGTAACGGTTGTAGACAACATAAATCTTTCAGCATGAATAAAATATAAGAGGCGCTGAGAATAAAATTTGAAGACAAAACCTTTGTTTTTGAAAGGCGGTGTACTAGAGGTGCCTTGGAGGTGATGTGAAGTGGATGAGTTTCAGATTGAGACCATTGGTGTGACAAATTGAAAGCAGGACCAGTTGAGAGAAAGCTTGTCTGCTTGAAGCTAGAGAGCTAAGGCATACCAAGGGAGAAAGCGGGGGGGGGGGGGGGGGGGGGGGAGATAGAGTGTGGAATAACATTCTATCTCTTTCTCTTGTCACTAGTGAGGACATAGGTGTTCACGACGTCCTCTCAGCACCACAAAGTAGTGATTAAGAAAGCATAATTAATTATAAACCTACAAAGTCTCTTAGTGTTTTTAGGCTAGGATCAAAGAATATAATCCTATTTAGGAAAATGTTATTATCTACATCGCATGATGAGGTCGTAGAGGATTTTGTAGATCCAAAATCATCATTATGTTGGACATTCATACGGAATGGTTTAGATGGTTAGCCGAAGTTGAATATCATTCACAAGGAAAAGGGTGAAGACTTGCACCAACTTTCTAGAGATGTAGGATTTTTACTAAGGAGGCTTGATCCAATTATTCATAGAGATGTAGGATTTTTATGAAGGAGGCTTGATCCAATTATGCATAGAGATGTAGGATTTTTACGATGGAGGCAGATCCAATGATGCATAAAGATGTAGGATTTTTACGGAGGCTTGATCCAAGTATGCATAGAGGTGCAGAGGATGCTTTTTGTATAAATGTATACTTTCTTTTAACACGCCATTGTTCCTCATTTAAGTAGCTAGGATGGTGAGCCAAATGTTATTAGATTTTCCCGCACCTCTAGAAGCACAAGTCGGTCCTTTTGTAACTTTTATAGCTGCATCACAAGTTGGTTTGTCAAAATGAGTGAATATATTGAAATTTTATGAAATACAGTAGTTTACATGCACATAGTTCCAATAAAATTGGAGCATGAATAAAAAATTAGAAAATATACTTCAAGATTCTTTATAGTTATTAGATGTGTGAAGCATCTTCATCTTTAAATTAATGTTGACAAGGGTTTGTCTACGGTGGAGGAAGAGAAGTTGGTAACGTGTGATAGAAGAGAGAAAAAAGCATGAGAGAGGGTAATGTTGATGCTTTAGTTTTTCTATTTTTTAAGCAACATATCACTTAACCTACTTCTGGACAGTCTAGGTGTGCTCACTTCATATTGTTTTAATTGTTAGTGGGTTCATGACTTTCATATCTATCTATACTATACTATTATATAAAGCATTTGACAAAAACTCTTAAAAACTATTTTTTGTATGCATGAAGTACTGTTTATTGATGCATATTACTTATAATTCAATATTATAAGTAAATTGTGAGTAAGTACAACTTATTAAAGCTCTATTTTTGAATTCGTGTAACTAACTGCAGATAAGCATAATCAAATACAGGATAAACATCTTAATTTAAATATATAGAATTAAAATATAATTAGGATAATCATTGAGTTTTAACAGAATACTTAATTATTATCCTTATAAAAATTATATTATTAAACATAAATAAATTACTTTGTTATTAGATCTAAATTAAATTATAATAAAAAATTAAATTAAAGAAATTACATGAAAAACGAGAACTTTTAAATAATCAATTTAATACTAATATCGATACTTATTTTTCAAATTTATATTTCATTAAAAAAAATATTTTCGTTTTCTAAAACCACATAAAACTGTATTATATATACAGAGAAAATGAATAAAATGAAACATTAAAACTAGGATATCTCGCTGCATTGCACGAGTCTCCTTCTAGTTGTTATAAATTAGTTTGTTTTTCTGTTTAGCCTTATCATTTTTTTATTTATACACCACTCAAACATTTCTTTATCAACCAAAGTCTTGTTTAAGTTGATGTTGAAACTATATATATTTTTTCAATACATATAACACGTTAAGTTATACATACATATAATCTCTGCAGTTAATAGTGCGCTATAACGGCGAAATAGCGGATAACGGTCCTGGCCAAAATAGCGGTGCATGAATAGCGGTACCGCAAATAGCGACCGCTATTACTGTATTGACCGCAATTTTGATATCAAATAGCGGTCGCTATTACCAATTTTTCTGTTTTTGCTCTTTTGAACTCCTTTTTTTTAATTTAAATTCTATTTGGGTTTTTGTTGTGTCATTTATGTGGGCTATTTAGAGTCAAACTTAGACCTGCAAACAAAAAGGAAATCGATTAAACCAACAATAGGAACAATTAGGTCAAACTTTGGTATCGATTCCAAGTCCAAAGCTCTGTTCAACGATTCCAAGTCTATAAAGCTTCAACAGCTCGAGTTTTCTTCTCGATTCCGCGGTTTCACGGGTTTTCTGCTGGAGTTTTTGTCTCATCTCGACAGCATAGCTCCTATTACTATGTTTCTTGTGTGGTTTGAATTGTTTCACTTGATATGTATTAGACATACAATATTTTATGTTTTATATATATATTTATTTTATTAACATATTTTTTTACCACTATACCACAGTTACATCACCACGATGACCACTATTTCAAATCAAGGCCCTGATCACTATTTTTGCACATGGACTGTGTTAACTGCTTAGCATAATCACAGACTATTCTTTTTCCTATATACTTCTCATGTATGTGAATATGAATCTGATCATATTCATTCCGGTACCGTAGTAGGTAAACTTGAAGGGGAAAGAGAGATCACTTTGGGCTTTGTTGATTTACTGCGTGACGATTTTATTTTATGCTAGATCCCTTCTGATTCCCCTAGGATTGTAGTTCAATAGGCAAGAGCACCGCCCTGTCCACAACAACGAAAGCACTTTTTCACTCTTTCATATACTAGGGGATTTCACTCAGGCATTACTTGAATGCTACTGCGGGTACATGCGAAGAAATGATGAAAAGGGCTATATTTGCCAGAAAATTGGGAGTTCCTATGAATTTCAATTAAACTCGGCTCAATCCTTTACAATCTTATAACCGGGAAGCGTAGGTAGAACTTGTTTATTCCTTTTTCTACTTCTTTTTCCAAATGCAGGATTACCCCAAGGGGTTGTGGGTTTTTTTCTACCAATTGGGGCCAAGTACGTCTTGTTCATTAACATCTCGGAAATATTCCGCCATAGTTAGGGCAGTCAAACTAACTCTCAACGGATTGACATTAGCACGGTCTGATCCATTCTCAGAGATCAATCCTGAACCTGACAGATCGTTCCTTTTTCCGGTATACGAAATAGGTGACTTCGCTAAGTCGATTCTTAGAAAATCTCTAATTAAACCATTTATCCTTATTTCAACAAAGGAAGTCTATGGCCGGTTACTTTCGTATTTTATTTTTGGATAGAATCTAGCCGAAATGAATTGTATTAGAATCAAATGCAGTTTATGACATTTCAATCAGACAATAGCAACATAATAACATCACCCCAATTTTGATATATATATATATATATATATATATTCTAATTATTATATAGACCGCTATACCACCACTTTACCATTGTGATACCTGCTATATCAAATCATGGTCCTGCCTGCTATTTTAAATTGGTACTACCAATCTATAACAACATAGATTGATAGTACCTACTCAACCATAAAAAAATTACACAGACATCTAAGCATTAAACAAAACTACCAAAGAGCTAACCAATCACATATGGTGCACCAAAATAATGTACCTAATGGAACTATTCCTCACAGATCAAATATCACCAACTATACGTATTACGCACTCTTACCCACACCATGAACCAATGTGGATCTTGGATTAGGCAACATTTGGCAAGCTAGAGTGCCACAGTTAAATGTCAAGAACTCAAGATGGAGGGTTGTAGCTCCCACTTGATAAGGAAGATGGAGATTTACCTTCTCATGTCATAGAGAAGATGGATAACTAAGATGCAAAGTCGAAGCCCTTCCTGAGTGGTAAGCAGCATGTAAGAATGGAAGCATGCTGGAAATCCTTGATTGTCAGGACTTTTAAAAAAAATGAAGTTCAAGTGTGGGTCTGCATGCATGGTAAGTTTTCATCGCAAATACATTATATGTAATAAAAAGATACCCTCAAATAACATCTCATGTTGAATGATCATTTTTACAAAGTGCACCCTTTTTTGGTGCTTTATGTTCTTGATCTTCTATGTCGAAGTTCTCGGTTGTCTTTTTCTTATTGATTGTTTAGATTGAATTTTTTTACCATAAATAGGAGCTTGATTACAGGGCACCAACTTTTGCCCAGGGCTGGTGTTTTGGTTCTCATCAATGTTTTTTATTTCGTGAAAAATCTTGTATATGGTACTTCTAGATTGTTACTTCTCTGATGTTGTTAATCCTGTTGTCATTTGCTTTGAGGTTACGAAACGTATGTAGTGCTTCCCATGTCAAAAAATAAAATCTAAATTTTACTTTAGTCCAGTCAAACATTTTTAAATATATAAGAATATAGGTCTATTTTTAAATTTTCAAGTTATGTGCTTGGTGGTGCTCGTACATTGGTGAAAAATCATCATAGATGTAAATAAATTCTCATCAATCATGTATGCTGAATTTGATCCCAGTTGATGATCATACAAGTCAAATGTAGAGGAACATACATTTGATTTATGGATATATTTGATGCCCAAAAATCTGCAGCCAGTGGGTAAGCATATAATTTGACCATATTTCTTCATTGGAAATTTCAGGCTGTTCTCATCAACTCAAGTGGGGCTTGGAAGCTTGGTGGATTTAGTTTTGCAATATCAGCAGACCAGGCATCTGCAGATTTATCTGCTGTGCAGCCCTTCCATTATGCTGTAAGTGATAACTTTGATAGGAACTCTAACACCTTCATTCAACCCCTCATTGCCATGCCAAAAAAAAAAAACAAATGTTTTTGGACTTTCTGGTCATGTGATACGTATGCATGCCTATCATATGTGGTATGCACAGGGTAACAGTAGGTGTATCCTGGTGAATTTATGAAGGTTACCATGATGTTCAGACTTCAGAGCCTCAATAATAACCAAAAATAGAAAGAAACTCTTTTTTTACCTCCACATAACCCTCTTTTGCCAGCCACTCAATGATCACTTAGAAAACTCCATTAGCCTTAGAATTATAAATTGAATACTTCTTTTAACTACTATCATGATTTTACAACACTTTGTTTTAATTTAATATATCATAATACAAACCCCTTACTATAAAAATAAATACATTGCCACTATTGTCTCGTTTTTATCTTACATACATTCATATGTAAAAATGTACTTATACTCGATATGAGCTCTAGACTGACATCGGTTAATAAAGTCGGATCATTCTAACTTTATTAATATCCAATAGGTTTATTTCTACTTAGTTACTTATTACTGTATCTTAATATTTCGGTTTGATCGTCGACATGTTGTTAACTGATTACTGTATCTTAATATTTCGGTTTGATCGTCGACGAGGCGAGACGTAAGCCTTCAGGCGGAAAATAAAAAAAATAACAGCATTAATATATGCGCACATATCTAATAATAGTATTAGAATCTTATAATATATTAATAGCTCTAATTAACATTAGAAGATTTTATTTTTATTATTTTAAAAAAAAAATTATATATACAAACTAACAAAGCCAAATAGGATAATGCACTACGGACACAAAATGTAAATATAATTATATATTAAATAAGTTATATTTCCTTGCTCAAGTCTCTCTATACATATTTATATTTTATATAAATTGAACAGGTCAAAATATACATACATATACTAGAAACATAATACACATATTTTATACAAGCCAGAAACAGAATATAAATATATATATATATATATCATATAGATATATATATATATATATAAAATATACAAAAAATATATAATGCTTGTTGTAGCAGCAAGTACAAATTTTAGTGAAGCAGGTACAACTTGTCATTGCAACAAGGAGGGTTTAAAGATTAAGGAGAAGAAGTCATGACTACGTTTTAAAAAGAAGAATCCACCGATTATATGTTATAATACTAGGGTTTGACATTATTCTTGTTTTTATGTAATAAAACCTGACACACCCACTATCCCATGCGTAATCACATCCACATGCACATCATATAAAGAGAGGCTTACACCTCAGCCTCGCTCACCGCCTCACACATGCAAGCATTGAGAGGCGATGCTTCAGGTTCGTTTTTCGACCGCCTCATCTCAAGGTGCGCCTCAAGGCGTACGCCTCAAACGATCTTTAACAGCCATGACCTTACCCTCTTGGACTCAATCTTATCTGCAAGTCTCTAATTCTTAGAATGTACCTTACATTAATGTTTTAATAAGTCCTGAATTCTATCGGTTAAGCTTTTTGCTTACTAACGCGCTTACGGTTCTTTATTGTGAGAACATCTAGGCTCGAAGATGGGCTATCACAATAAAAAACAATGATTGTTCATCAAAGGACATGTATTTGGGTTCTTTTATATATTTACCTTACCACATGGATGTGGTATATGATGATCCATATTTATTTAATGTTTGCATTGAATTTCATTCTCTGCTGTTATACTTCTTTTAATATGGTCCCTATTCTTACTTATGGCAACCTTTTAAACTAGAAGACCTATCTCCCTTACATATGCTATACAATCCATGTTTCCATAGACCATTTTATAACTTGTATGCCCTTGGTTTTTGTACGTAATTGTTAATAGCTAATTCTCTCAGTATCTACTCTCTGAATTGCAGTTTAGAAGTATATTTCACATGATTCTGTTTATCAGGAATATGATGTTGAAGATTCACTACTGCCTCTACAGCCGTCACTAAACTACACTGCTCCGGAGCTAGTCCGGAACAAGGCATCTTCATTTGGATGCTCTTCTGATATTTTTAGCTTTGGATGCCTTGCTTACCATTTGATTGCTAAAAGGCCTTTGTTTGACTGCCACAACAATGTGAAAATGGTATTGATCTGCCTTTCGTCAGAACATGATTATGTTAATCTATTTGTTCAATGGCACCAGCTCTTAGAAGTACATGTAACATTATATCCTTCCTATCTGCAGTTTTCTGACTTTATGTTGCTCTCTAGGCCTTTCTTGAATTTAGTGAACAAACCCCCTCACCCAAAGATAAAAAGTTTATGCCTTATTGTAACTTGTATTCTGATGTCATTAGAAAAAATTGCATTATGTATTAGGTTTTTTTCCTTTCGTTGATAACAACTTGCTACAGGACTCATCTATTCGTGGTCATTTAGTTAACTTTCAAAAATATCTCAAGTAGTAATCTGTTATTTATTTGACAATCAAACATATATATGTGCACACATGTAACTATATTTATGCCTTGCAAAATAGACCAGCAGTTGCATTGACCCAAAAAGGAAAGAACAGCTCTATGGGAAAATGACACAATAGCAAAAATGTTGCTACCTTCATGGAGCCAAATGCAACTGTATATCAAGAGAGCATCAACCAGTTAAATTGGAATTAAAGGGACTCATGGGATAAGAGTTAATGAAGTTGATAATAAGGGATGTTCAGTGACTAAATGGTTGGAAATGTTAAATAACCCTGTTGAAATCTCGAGATTTATCATTCATGGACGTTGATAAGATCCATCCATTTAGCAACACCTTAGGATGACAACTAAACACGAGGGTTGCGCTTGTTGCGGGACTTTACCCAACACCTTAAGTTCTTAAGGCACGAGTTGTAGAGGGCGCATTCAATCCTTGCTTGTCTATTAGTTTTCAATTCTTCACATGTTTTGCAGTACTCCCTGTGAATACTCCGCCGGTATGAATAGTTCTTAACATTAATTGTATTGATATGCCTTAAATTTGGATTATTTGTTTCCTAATACTGGGATTAGCACAATCTCTTTACTTATCTTTACGCAATAATTTATGGGATATGTTTCTAAGTTGTTCTATATATAGGGGATCCAATGTAGTATTTGAAATACATAAAAATTTACAGAAAGCATTCTTTCTGCTTTCATGGTATCAAAGCCAAGCAATGCCTAACCCTGTCTAGTGATGGTGCAATCCACATCCCCTGAAACCCCAAGTGAAACAACTACCGAAGCCACCAAAACCATGATGCCAAATGAGCAAGAAAATTTCATCGTTCCGGTTCTTAGTTGAGAAATCTAATTGGAATAATTCTCTCAAATGAGCTCATGTTTAAATTGGTTATAGATGGAAAGGGAAAATTGGGTTATTGGACTGGTGAAATAAAGAAACCATTTACACAGATGCTTCTCTACAAGAGTGGAAAGCAGAAAATTAAGTCGTTATCATGTGCTTATTCAACTTGATGAAGTCGTGTATCAGAAAAATTAGGGGGTGACAATTCGCAGGATTCTGAAAGTATGGGAATTGGAATGATCATTTCCGTTGACCGAATTCCATTCAGGTTTGGTTTACATATGGAATGGAGTTGAATTATACACATTCTACCATTCATGGATTTGGTCGTTCCATCACAAAGGAGAAGGGATTGAATTGAATTCCATCCCATTTTCTTAGAAGAGACAAAACTATCCCGATGGTGATATATACCTAATACATATATGAGTTGGGTTTCGGTAGGAATTCCAAAATCCATAGGAATCGTAGGAATATCCCTGCGATCGTCGATTTTGAAGGATCTATGCGCCGGACGCTCATCTTATCGAAAATGAAGAAGGGGCAGATCGGTCACTCAACCACTACATCAACGTTGTTTTTGTTAACATGTGTTAAGGTGTGTTACTATGTGTTAAGGTATGTTAAGATGTGATAAGTTTTTCATGGTTACTGTGTGTTACTACGAGTTAAGATCTCTTAAGATTGCTGGTTAAGATGCATTAAGATTGTAGGTTAAAATGCATCAAGGTTTTTCATGTTAATATACGTTAAGATTATGGAATATGCTAACCTATATTCATAAATGTTCAGAGTACAAAATGAGAAGTAGCTAACCAACTTCTAGGAGGCTCCGTTTAAAAAAAACCAAGTGGTGTGTGTTAATGTATATTAAGGTTGAATATTTCCATGTTCACTTATGTTAACATGGTCCATTTTAAGATATGTTAAGGTTTCTAAACGAGGTTAAGCCATGTTAAGCTCCGTGTTCGCCTACAACAATGCCATCAAAGTTCCAAATTATTACGAAAATGCCACCGTTTCCTCTTGGAGCATCCAATCATGGAGCTGATCTCATCCAAGGGTGATCAAATGGGGTCCTACGGTTCTTACGGAAAAAAAAAGTTCCTAAACATTCTGTAAATCAAACAGACAGATTTCAATTCAGTTCACATATTACATTTCATGTCTTGCCATCCAAGCACTTGGTTAAACCTGATAACATTTCATTCCAATTCTTTTGACAGATTCCATTCCTTCAACAAGATTATGCGAACCAAACACTATTTTATAAGTTTCTTTCAACCGCTAAAGGGGTAGGGACACTATTTGAGAAACATAGTCGGTTTTTAGAACTTCTCCCAAATATTCAAGATAAAGACTAAAAGACTTCGTTATGGCAAATGAAGCAAGAAGAAAAACGTGTCACTAAATATTACAGATAGATGAAGGCTTTGTCATTGGATTTGGACCCATGCTCTAAGGAAGAATTGGGAGCGCTCCGATTTTGGTGTTTGCTTTAAGAAAATGTCTGAAACGGGAGTTTTTGAACTCTTGGTTGGACTCAACCGTGACTAGATGAGTTGAGGGGAAGGATGCTTGGCCAAAGACCCTTTCCCTCAATCCGTGAAGTCTTCTCAAAGGTAAGACGAGAAGTAGACAAAGTGATCTTAAAACCCCTCGKTCAACTGGTTTTTGGACAAGAAAACTTGGCACTCATGTCTATGAGGGTGCCAAGTGGAATAGGTCACAATCAACAAAGCAAAAGGGAGTAGTGTTGAACACTGCTACAAAGAACGATCATACTAAGCATATCTATCGGGAGGTGCATGCAAAGCCATCTAATTGGAGGCAAATAAATTGAAAAACCGAGGATATCAAGCCTTGGTTGATGATCAAAAGGAGAGAATGGTAGCAACGGTGAGTCTCCTTCTAAGACCTCTTCACAGTTGGAACAACTTCGTAAGATGTTCTCCAATTTCCAAGTCAGTGGTTAGTTGTCTATAATCGTCAACTAGTTTCTTGGCTCACAAAGGCAAATTTTTTCACCCCTCACCATTTCACTCAACAAAATTCATTGAATTGTTGAGTCTAGTGGTGCTTTTTAGCAAATGACCGATAATTATCATATTTTTAGCATATTTCCTTGTGTTGGCTACATCAAAGTAAAGATTGCAGATGGATATTTGTTCATGTTGCAGCCAAAGGAATCGTAAAAGTTTTATATTCTATAACTTCATAATTTGTTTTCCATGTCCCTAATGTATCTCGTAATCATCTATTATCTATTAGTCAACAGTTAAATGTCTTCCCTCTCATTGTATTTTTCAAGACTTGTCATTCGGGAAGACGATTGGTAGTGCTAAGAAATACAAGGGTTCTACTATTTTGACAAGGCTAAGCCTAGTAGACAACTTCAAATTGCAATTTGTGATTCTTTATTTTCTTCTGGAGATGGTGAAGTAATGTTATGGCTTTTTAGACTTGGTCATCCTAATTTCCAATATACAAGACATTTATTCCTTTTCATTCATGTCAATAAAAGTCTCTTGTTATTACTATGTGAAATCTGTCGGCTTTCTAAACAACAATATTCCTCATTTAGGAATTCAAAGTACCAACCGTCCAAACAATTCTATGATTCGCATTGACTATATGGGTCCTTCTCATACTTCCACATGAACTCATACAAGATGGTTTGTCACCTTTATCAATGATCATATCGAGTTTGCTGGGTTTACCTCATTAAAGACAAAACCGATCCCCGTGAAGTGGGAGATCTGAATTAAAGATCGTTTTATGTATTTTGAACTTATTTTTCTATTCAAAGAATCTGACATTAACACCACTAAGTCGTCCCATTCTATCATGCCATGTATAAAAAAAAGAACACTTGAACTTAAACAGATATGTGAAGATACAACAAAATAGGGAGCCGCCAATCTATGGAAGAAGGCCAAAATCGAAATATCAAGATAACCTCACTTTTCTTACACCAAGAGAATCCAACCTTGTGATAGATCTTGGCATGAATGAGTCTCTCATAGGAGAAGCTATCTCTAACGTCTCGATCTTCTTACACTTCATCACATTTCAATGCAGATTTCCATGCCTTTGTTTCTAATCTCAATAGGCTAAAATTATCAAAGAAGATGGATGAGGCTTAACTATTCCAGAATGGTAAACACTTGTCATGGAAGAAATGAGAACCTTGGAGAAAAACGAGGTAAGTAATGGAACTATTGAGAGGAAAGAATACAATTAGGTGCAAGTATGTCTTTACCATTATATGCTCTGAAAGATAAGATTGTTATGAACCATACTTGGCATGTGGGTATGTACTTCAAAAAAAAATTGTCGAAAACTACCTATAGGCGGTAGGGATCGGGTTATTGATGTGAGATGGGTCCAGAGTTCTAAGACCAATAAGGTAGATCAGACAAAGTTTACAGAATCTTGAAGTCAAAGTAGGTGGCAAACTTATAGCATTGACTACCTTGAAATGTTTGCTCATGTTGCCAAGTGAAATGTGATCAGAGTCCTTATATATCTAGCAACTAACCTTGACGGCGCCTTCAACAATTTGACGTCAAGGAGGAAGATAAACTAGTATGTAAACTCAAGAAATCACTTTATGGTCTTCAACAATCTTTGAGAGCATGGTTCAATATGTTTGCTAAAGTGATAAAAAATCAAGGTTACTCAAAGTCATTCAAGTCATACTATGTTCTTCAAACAAAGCCAAAAGGGGAAGAAGATGATGGTTGATGTGGTTGATATAATCCTCATTAGTGACTATGTAACGAAAATGGAGAGTCTTAAGAATATCCTTGCTGCAAATTTTTAAGTGAAAGATTTGGGACAAACGAGGTATTTTTTGGGCATGGAAATTGCAAGGATAATGAAAGGATTTAGTGTTCCCCGAAGAAAATATGTCATTGGTCTCCTCATAGAAACATGTATGCTTGGATGCAAACCAAGTGGCATCCCAATTGATGTTGGGAAGAAAAATGTGGATGACGGGAAGTTGGTCGATAAGGACATATATCAAAGACTAGTAGGCAAGTTGTATGGTTAGTCAACACATGCACTCATCGAGAGCAACTCATATGGAGGTGGCATACGTGATACTTGGGTACCATGAAGGATCACATGGAAGAGAATTATACTTCAAGAATGGTTACTGCTAAGGCATATAAACCTATACAGACGCATAGAGGGTTAAAGAAAAGTAACTGCAAAGGAATAGAATCTTATGCAGGATGCAGATTGGGCCGAGTGAATCGGAGATAGGAGGTCTACTTCTGGATACGTACTTTTGTATGAGTGAATCTAGTATACAGGGACTAATAAGCTAAGCGAGGTTCCCAACCTAAAGGCTTTATTCAAAGGTGGGTCTTTCAACTCCTTCTCTTTTGATTTCAATGAAGGGTGCACTACAAGAGAATCAATACGGAAGATATTATACGGGGGGATTTCGCCGATATTGAGTTGATTGTAAACTATTCATCTTGATTGGGCTTCTACCTCTTGCTTGGGAAAAGGGTGAATTGTCCCAAAACATGGAGGAGCAAGAAACAAAATGTGGTGGCTAGAAGAGTGCCAAGGAAGAATTTAGAGGGGTTACTCAAGGAATTTTTGAGGCACTTTGGCTATGGAAGATCCTAAAAGAACTCGAAGTTACGATTGAAGCCCCAAGCTCTATTGTGATAAAGAAGCAACGATTAATATATCTCTTGATCATGTCAGCATGACTGAACCAAGCATGTGAAAGTGGATAGACATTTTATTAAAGAAAAGGTGGTGGAGGGAATCGTGTACATGACTTATGTTCCTACCCAAACATCTTCACCGTAGGACTCACAAGACAAACATCTGATGAATTTTTAAGCAAGTTGGAAATGAAGATATATATATATATATATACACACATATAGGTTTCAATGTATTATTTGAAATACATAAAAGAACATTTGATAGCATTCTTTTGGCTTTCATAACCCCTGTTGCACATATCCATTGAAGCTTAGTGAATTCCAGTTGCTGAAAATAAAAAGAGCACCGTCACCAAAGTGGGAGGTGAAAAGTGATTCCAACACATAGCAAATTAATGTATATTTTTGGTAAGACAGTGGACACTTGGAGAATAAAGTTACACAATCATAAATAGAAGTAACTAAATGGATGAAGATAATCAACAGATGCACTGGTAAATGTTTAATTTATTGATGTTGTAAGATGGTTTTAGTTTAGCTACATAGATGCATTTTGTATATTTGCAAAAGAACTAAATAATACAAGTTGTCTATTTTCTTTTAATAGTGGCTTTGTGCACTTCCGTGCAGTACATGAATAATTTGACATACTTATCCAGCGAGGCTTTTTCATCCGTTCCCCACGAACTAGTTGCTGACTTGAAAAGAATGCTTTCAGCAAATGAGGCTCTAAGACCCTCAGCTTTGGATTTTACAGGTAAAGATCTGTGTGGTTTCTAACATTATGTATGATTATAAATGCAAACTTAATTGCTCATCAAACTATCATGTTCCAATACTGCAGTTGTTATTTTAAGATTTTTTTTTTCATTTGTTGTCAAGTTTGAGTTGATCTAGGTCAACAAAGTTTTCTATTGCCTGAGGTAAATCGCGAGGCAAAAGGCAATCATCCGAGCAAAGAGAGTCAAAATTAAAATATTAAGAAGTTTACGAGGTTTCCCATGTTAATTAAGATCCCCGTGTATGTGATCACAAAATCATAATAAACATGTAGGACAATCTCTGCTTCCATATATCTAATATCCAAAGAACACCTTTAAATATAGTTTCACAAGTGAAGGGTAATGTTTAGTTGATGAAGTGAGATTCATAATCATGTTTCCGAATAATACAAGTCTCAATCTAATAGTACTTGCCACTTTTGAGCTCTAATCATCCTTGTCTTGCATATTCAGGATCACATGCTTTTTAAGGGAAGATGACATCTTATTGCACCTCTATTCCACAAGGAGCATGCTTAACACCTGCAAGTTTTTGGATTTTTTTCTTCCCCTACCCATTGCCTAGATGCACTAGGTGCTGAACTGATTGAAATTGCCACATATAGTCACTTCCCTACTTGCCCGAGGTGCTCACCTGGCTCCATTCCATTTTGACAAAAGACCCACACCCAAGTTCCATGGCTTTTGGTCGGCTATCCCGATCAACCAACATGTTAACTAATCGATTACGATAAATTGGATCGGATGAAATTCAATGGGATCCAGAGAGACCGTGTCTTCATCCATAGGCTCCCTCCTTTTGCTACTAGGTTGGAATTCCTGTATTTTACATATCCATACGATTGAGTAAAGGATGAAAATGGTAAAATTTATAATCCCTATTCATGCAGTAACATCATTTTGAATGCCCATGAAAGCCAGGATCTTTCAGAAAATGGATTCCTATTTGATACAACTCTCCTTGTACTGCGCTCTCCAAGTGTGCCTGTTCCCCCCTTCTTCCTTATCATGGCAAGTCTTTATCTTAATTGAAAAGTATCATGCAGCAGGTCAGGCTGTATTCTAGATTGCTGTTACTAAGAATAGTGGATGCAGACAATTAGGATTATTTCTTCTTATTGATTAGTGATTTCAGGTACGAGCAAAATCAGGGGGGCTCTTCCTATCCAACTGCGTGTAGTCACCGACTAATTTCATTTACATGCTTATAAATATTTCAAAATTCCCTGCACATGATCTCATATACAATTGATATGGTGTTTAAAAAATTTGCACCCTCTTTTATTTCCTGTATTCAGTCACCTTTTGCTCTTCTTGAACACGAGGTTTCCACTTCTTGCGAAGTAGTAACATCTAAGCTATATTTTGTTGCAACCAACATATCATAGCAAACAAAATGATAAAAGGGATATGTACACTATGGTGTATATTTGGACTAGTGGCATCCATGGGAAATCAGCCACCCTTTGGTCTTCCAGAACACGAGGTTTCCACTGCCTGCTAAGTAATAACGTCTAAGCTATATTTTGTTGCAACCAGCATATCATAGCAAACAATGATAGATGGGATTTGTGTCTTTGGGAGTACACTATAGTGTATATTTGGACTCATGGCATCCATGGGAATGCTTAAATTATACTAAGATTTCTCAGTGAAGGAACATCTTTCTCCCACTCAGTCTAGAGTATATTTGAAGTTTTGTTGAGTCAACTCCATGTTGACTGAAGTACCTAGCTAATATGGGTTGAGTGGAGGTTAATAATAGCACTTTAAGTCCCTGAGTTTGCCTCCCTGAGCAGTTAAACCGAGACCCATGTATCTCTAACCCCTATGTTATTCAATATTTACTCTTTTCCTTACATGGAATGTAGTTTTGACATTTCCAGAGTAGATACATCAAACCATGCCAAACCAAACTTGCTCAGTAGATCTTATTCGGAAGTAGGGTCTGGGGGTAGGATGTGCACAGATCTTTCCTCTACCCTAAGGAGTGGAGAGGTTGCTTGCATGATGACCCCCTTCTTGTGAAAGAAGTTTTGGGGGAAGTCTTTGAGAGAAACAGAGAAATATTGAAGATGTTTTGAAAAGTTCTTGTCAAACTTATGCTGGGCTGATATTGGTCTTATCCAAAGATGCTTCTTGCTCTTATGACTGCAACTGAAGGGCATGAAATACTTTTATTACTGTATGACTGCAATAGCTTTTTGGTGTGGTTCGTGAACAATTTGATGTTATCCTTTTTGTGATTAAAAAATACTTGGTTTTTGGTCTGTAGTAAATAACAAAATTCAAGTGAAAATCACATGATTTCATCTTCATATCATTTGACTTCTCAAATATTTTATATTTGTTTTCACTTTTCAGGTTCTCCCTTTTTCCGTGATGACACTAGGTTGCGAGCACTTCGCTTCCTGGACCACATGCTTGTATGTGCATACAATTTATATCATCAGTGATTAGCTTCTGGATTAAATATGCTTGGTTTAAGATGATGTTCAAATGGGGTGTACAGTTGTTTCTTTTATGCTGATTTTTTCTTGGTTTCAGGAAAGAGATAACATGCAGAAGTCAGAGTTTCTAAAAGCATTATTGGACATGTGGAAAGATTTTGATGCTCGTGTTTTACGATATAAGGTTGAAGAATTTCCAGTCTCACTGTGTGCTTGATGTTGTAGCTGAAATTATGGGCCATGGAATAATGTTCATAACTTTGGATAAAGGGTTACATCAAGAAACAATTGCATGTCAATTTTTTTTACATGTGTCTAGAGCTATCTCCTGCATTTCCTTTATTTCATTACACCGATGTGAATTCTAGCTGTTCCGACTTTAATGACTTCATTTTGGCTTTTTCTTTTTTAAGAGCTTAATAAAATAATCCTGTCTTCTTTTAATATCTTTTGTGATAAAGAAAATGACAGTGAACTTTTTGTTTTGTTTGTGTAGGTCCTTCCGCCTCTCTGTGCAGAGCTTAGGAATATGGTTATGCAACCGATGATTCTTCCCATGGTTTTAATGATAGCTGAGTCTCAGGTACTATATAGCTACTCATATAGGATATTTTTTTCGTGTGGCTTATGTAGAGTTATTTTATATGAAATGCTTTTGAAAGGGTGAAGCAGTTGTTTTAGTTGCATTTGCAAGAGGTTGCTGCATGTAGATAGAGGACAAATATCCACCAACTAAATATAAAACCATTTTTGCTGAAAACATCATTATCAAGAAAAATCTTCATCATGTTTAATGATAAATCAGCTCCTATCATTTTATATATATATAATTTCTATATGAGTTTATGTCCACTTTCTTTTTTAGGCTTCTCTTAGATAATGTATAATGATAAATGTTATTTTTGTTTTAATATGTCAAACCAATATTTATATTAAGAGAATTATTGAATGACTCATTTTTTTTAATATTACAATAAGGCTTTATAATTTTGTGTAGGTTAGAATTGTTTTCTGTTGATGCAGCTGAGGTTGTGCTCAAAATTCATTTTTACTCATTTAGTCTGGATCAAACCAATAACTCTAAATAAAGCCATAATTTCGAACAACAGCTAAAGTAAACATATAGTTATGTTAATTACTTAATTGTATGTGTGGATGCAATTTCTTCATCTTCTGTGTTTTCCACCACTCTGACCGATGTTAATATTTGCTTTTGATGAACAACAAATTGAAACCAACTATCTCAAGCTAGTGGGGATGACACTAAAAAAGGATATGGAACTGTGTTACCAAAAAGCAAACTCAAAGAGTTGAAAACCCCCATGTTTGAAGGACATGACTTATATTGATAGTAGAAGAAAAAAGCAAAAATGTACAGCAGTAACTACTGATGTATCAATTGGCCAAATGCATGATTAAACAAGCAACCGTGCAACAAAATCACAATAATGTATTAGAACCCATAGTTATAGTTTTGTTATTTCCCTGTAAGCGGCGTACTTATGTAATTTTATTCAAGGTAAAAGAGAATATGTTCATCATCAATGTAGGAAATTCTTTTAAATAGATATTAGAAATGTTATGAAAATAAGGAGAACCATAAGAATTATGAAGATAAACTTGAAAAAGATTAAATTACTATGAGTTTTGTAACCCTCGTCAGTAAGTGAGATTGTAAATGTAAACCATGCTCAACTTGTCATATATGAAGTCGTTGCGAGTCTTTCATAAGGATTTAGTTAAGCTATCTACACTTTGATGCTCTATGTGAATATTAATAGGTTGGAATAGATGGAGGAGCAATAAAAATACCCACAATATGGTTCCTCCAAGTTGACAGTCAACCTCTAAGTGTTTGTAAATATTGCTTTGTACCTAGCTTTCAACTTGATGTAAATAAATATTTCAATAACCGATTATGATCTGTAATTTTGCATATATATGAGAATGAGTCTGTCTTTCATTTATGTTTGTACTAAAATCAAGGTGATAACACAGAATAAGAGTATAGGTAATATGTTTGCCATACTAATAAACTGAAGAAGAAAGGAGGTGTGTGGACCATAAACCATCAAGCTTTCTAATACATGGCAGAAAATGAGAAATTGGTGCTCTAGCATATCTTAAAAACAACTCTATATTGATCAGAAAATGAGAAAGTGGTGCTCTGGCATCTCCTGAAAAGCACTCTGTGTTGATCATTGGGACATATAATGGTTGGTCTGTAAAGTAAATGTAAAAGAACTGGATTTACTTACTTAAGTAATAAGTATTTAAAATGGGATTGGGCATCAAATCATACCCTCAAATACAGTGTTTAAGTTATGAAGAATGTGTCAAGAGTAGAATTGGGCAGTTTACTTAATTTTGAGTACCAAGAAATTTAAGTCGCATAGGATAATATCTTCAGTCTTGGAATGAAAGAAAACGTAATTTCAGATGATAATAATAAATAAGACATTTCACAAAAGAATTTATTATTTGATGTTGCAACCACAGGTTACTTTAAGCCTTCTTAAGATTGGTTTTGTTTCAAAACTTGTGAGAATTTTGAGAACTGCATTTTACTTTTTAACAAGTACAATAAAAAAAATGTGATAAATTGGTATATTCTATGAAATTTTCATTTTGAAAGGTACCATGCTCGGTATGAAATGATGGAGCTTTTTTTTTTTTTTTCTTTCTGGAACAAGAGGGGAAAAGAAATGTTGAACCACAACATGATGCTTGTGCATTATATAGGTCTTTGTTACCTGGCTACGTGTTTTTCTATCCTTTCATAATTTATTGCATTATACCGACTTCCTGAACTTCTATCCATCATCCTTTTTTTCATTGAGTTGATTTCTGTGCAATGTTACTTCTGGAAACCACTTCATTAGAATCCCACGGAGTTCTAGGTTCTATCAGCATATGATGCTCATTCGTGATAATGTCGTATAAAAACCTGTGCGCTTGGATATTTAGTTTCTAATGTTCGACTTCTGTACTTTGATTTAGTTGGTGTGATATGTTTGCATATTGATCATGTGGCCAAATGCATCATGACGTACTGCAGGATAAAATTGATTTTGAGACATCAACACTGCCTGCTCTTGTTCCTGTCCTAAGCACTGCTGCAGGTGAGACGCTACTGCTACTTGTGAAGCACGCAGAGCTAATCGTCAACAAGGTAACAAAGTGGCAAATATTATTGTTCTTTGTTTATAATGCCTTTTTTATATGTTCTACTATTGACACTTATTCTTCTTTGTTTATTCACAAACTAGGTATTTATTTCCGTTGTATTTTCTCTCTTTCTGCTGTTTACATTTTCTTCTGTCCTCTATAACTGTTATTGATTAATAGTATTCTCGAGAAGTGTATTTAGAGTAGAAACCAAAGGAGAACATAAAATATTTAGAGTAGAAAGGTGGTTCTTGAGCCAAGGTAATGAAAACCTTTGGAACCCCATATAAAAATAAAAAATATAGATATTGATGTAAATATCCTGTTTAAGCAAAATGTCATTAACATGTTTGCAACTCAATCCCCTGAATGTACCTAAACCAGGTTGATAGGAGATTCATAAGAAGCGTCAACTACCTCCTCTGTGACAAAAATGACAAGCCACTTCATTGTGGTTTCATGAGAAATTTGGCTCTGTGGAATGTGAATGAATTTGTTATCATAAATCGTTTTCATTAAACAATAGCAGGCTCATCTATCCCCTGTTATAATTGTCATATCCTTGTCAACGTGGAAGCAGAGCATGCCATAGCATGGTTCTTAGACTCGATGCTTGAAAGTGACTACAATTTCTTTCTTGGTTTTCCAAGAGATGAGATTCCCACCCAAGAGAGTAATTATCACGTTGTATATTTCATCCAATGAGTCGTTTATGTCCCTAATTTGTGTATAATATGGTGTTGGATATTGGTGACTACTACAATTGATTAAACATGAGTTATCTTGCCCAACTTCTTTTTGGAAGGAGGATGGTACGACCGGTGAACTTTTACTAAAAATAATAGATAAAGTTACAACCTAAGGTGGGAGTCCCACCAACAAGCATGGTTGGAACATGCTCCACGGTATAAGTGTAAAAAAACAAATTGAAGTTGTCACTTAGCTTGGTTGGAACATGATTCACACTAAGTGCTTAATGATAACATAAATGAAGAGAATATAGCATCAAACTCTCCACAAATAAAAGAAAAGCTAAAAAGCAACCCATCAAGTGCCACATAGAGCTCTTGTCGGCCTTCGTTTTTTTGAGTTAAAAGCATCTTCCATGCAGGTCCCAAGTGGGATCTTCCAAAGTTCCATCATTTTCTTTGTTGTCATTTGGTTGAGAGGGAGCTCCATTAGCTTCAATCTGATCACTTGCTTGATGACACCGGCCAGAGTGCCCACTGATCTTGCCATCTGTTTGAATAACCTCATGTTACACCCTTGCTAAACCTACCAACAATACTCCAAGCTGCTTTCCTCCTAGTCGTGGCTTGAAGATGTGTGAATCCAGCTACGATTGACACAAGGGGTAAAACATATCTGGCGGACATGCTTCCTAAGAAGAATCCTGCCCTCTGTACTCAACCATTTTCCAAGTACCAGTCATTAGAATAAATGCTTGTCGAGGGATGCACCAGCTAAACCAGACCAAACTGTGCCAAGGTACCTCAGTTCTTTCACTGCAAATAACCTGCCATACCTCACTAACAGAATGGGGAACAAGCTTACCTTTAGAGGTCTTCCAGCAAATGTTATTCAGACTATCATAAACAAGAATAGGTGGTGTAACATGTCTGAGTACAACATGCAATACTGTCCATTGACAAGGGCATCTCCAGTCTCCATTACAGATAACATCACTGTGAAATTAATATATAGAATAATCCTTGATTTCATGGGATTATATTTATCTCTTGGTAACAAATTTTATAGTTATTTATATAGTTGGATACTCTCCTTCTGTGTATTATCAAATCCTGTAAGTTATGGTATTCTGGTGAAGCTGTATATATACCAGCGAATTATCAGTGGGAAAATATAGGAGTACAGGGGGAGTATGCTGCAGCACACTTGTGGTTGAAGTTTTGGGGTAGGATCTAGGTTCTCCCCAGAGTATCATTGTGTTGTCTTATTTGATATATGTGAAACAGGGCAATGGAAGAAGCATCAACAATTAATGGGTTAGAATGAGCAACAGAAGGTGTACCCAACAACAGAGATGTTGAGACCAGAGGGCTAGGTGGGGCTACTAGAGTGACACTAGCATCCTAGGCACAAAGAAAACTTATTAGTGCAAACAAAGTATATTTTAACATGGAATGCATAAATGTGAAGGTTGTATGATTAGTGAAATGGACCAAAGTGAACATCTGAAGAGTATGACTTGATTTATACATACTATGTATAAGGTGTACTACTGTGCTTACCCATCTAATACGACTGAAGTCGTGAAATATGCTAGAGAAAGATCTTTTATGTTAGAGCATCTTGAGATGCTCCAAAGAACAATGACCCAAGCAACTACAAATATCCTTTAACTTAGAGATGTAAGCCGGATCAATCGCGTGAGAAGTTTATAGTTCATTCAAAGCACAATAATATAGGAACAAATTTCAATTCATATTTATTGGCTATTTTACGGGCATGAGACTTAAGGGAAGGTAGGTATGCAATAACCATTCAAAAGTTCATAATAAACGTTGGAAGCACTAAATTTTTTATAAAAAACATGTTGGCACATTTATTTCCGACTGTGTGTGTTGTGATGAGGGAAAAGGTTATAGATCACATCTGGTTTGCTATTCAATATCTAAACTATTATATCTGATGTGTCATGTCATCCAATCTTGTTTAACTTATTATCTTACAAGCTCTTAAAACTTGTATATTAAAGAACTTGCTTAATCTTGCAATAATAAACTTCCTATCTTCTCTGTCTGTCCTTTATGTTTATCTGAGCTCCCTTACGTGTTGCTGCCATGCATCTCTGGTTTCAGCTTGCTCATTGCATCTTCTGTTATGGCAGGCTAGTCAGGACCACTTAATATCTCATGTCTTGCCCATGCTTGTGCGAGCTTATGATGATAATGATGCTCGAATGCAAGAGGAAGTGCTGAAAAGAACTGTATCCCTGGCTAGAAAACTTGATCCTCAGGTGAAATTTCCATGATAATAATTCTGATTGATTGTTGTTACTGGTTATTAATAAAGGAATATCAACTTCTTCCATGTACCTTCATGTCGTTAACAAGATTTAGTAGGTCGATGATAATAGATGGTAATAGACGATGGTGCATGATAGCTGCAAACTTGATGTTTTGAAGTTTAGCATGTCTTGGCTGATTTTATGTTACTTGCGAAAACCAATTTTTTTTATTCAAGTGTGCAGGAATGCATAAGTCATCTTGGTGTTTTGGGTAAGTAATTGGTGAAAACTGAAGACAATATAGTGCATGACAGCTTCAAACTCAATTGAGGGTTAACTTAAAATTTAAAATTCCTGTTTAATATGCAGCACGTGCATAAGTCAATTTGGTGACTCGGATGAGTAATTGGGCAAAAAAAATAAGGCAGTCGTGAGAAATAATTATTTTTTCAAATTCTTACACAAACTACATTTAATTGGCAATGAGTGGTTTTCAGAACCAAATACCTTTTTTTATGAAGCACATCCCGTTCTTAAGGTGCATTCTTGCATCGACTATCACCCTCACATAGAATAATACTGGCGGTCAAACTCCAACCTGTGATAACATCCAAATTGGTGTTCTTTCGTCTCTTTTGATATTCTTTTCTGGTTCTCTAATCTCTTGTGTCTTCTTAACCTCTTTTTTTTCTTTAAACATCTAAAAATAATTCATAATAACCTTAAGGAAAGCAGAACAAGCAGGTGAGTTACCACTTATACTCTTGTTTGGTTTTTTTTTGTTTTACCATCTCATCTTATATTTGTTAGGACAAACGTTACACACGCAATACGCACAACCCAAAAACAAGAGAAGAACACAAGAATTTACGTGGTTCACATAATCAGATTGATCGTGCTAGTCCACGGGGGCAACTAGGTTTTTCTTTATTTAGGTGCTACAAATGTTTACAAGTACAATGAGATTAATATATATAGACAAACATAATTAGGGTTATCTCCTAATCAAGGAAACTAGGGTAGAGACTAGGGCCGGCTCCTTTTGGGCTAGGGCCGGCTCCTTACTTTATGCCTCCTCCCTTTTGTCTAACTTAGTAGGCCGAAGCCTACATTCCAACAATCTCCCACTTGGAGGCTTCGAAACACGTTCACCTGCACTCCTCTGAACTTCTGTAAACACCAACCGAGCTTGAGCTCCCCTAGTTGCCACCTGCCTTCTCAACATTATTCCTGAAGGCCAGCTGAAGTCATACAGAACTTTAGCTTATCCAGCGTCACAGACTTGGTGAACATGTCTGCTGGATTCTTTGCACCTGAGATATTCTCCAAGTTCATCGTACCATCACTGATCAGTCCTCTGACAAAGTGATACCTCATCCCAATGTGCTTTGTTTTCCCATGATAGACTAGATTTTTAGCAAGTTTCACTGCACTCTCATTGTCACAGTGTAACGAGTAATCAGCTTGCTTTTTCCCAAGTTCTTCAAGAAAAGTCTTTAACCATACTAGCTCTTTACTGGCTTTAGCAACTGTCATGTATTCAGCTTCTGTTGTTGATAAGGCCACACTTTTCTGAAGTCTGRACATCCAACTAACTGTTGTTCCTCCCACTGTAAAAATATACCCAGTAGTGCTTTTAAATGTCTTTTTGCATCCACCCAAATCAGCATCAGTATATCCTTTAAGAACTGAGTCTTTACGCTTGAAACATAATCCCAACTTTGAATTACCCTTCAAATATCTGAGCAGCCATTTGACTGCTTCCCAATGTTCTCTCCCCGGATTTGACATAAAGCGACTAACAACCCCGACAGCATGGGCTATGTCTGGTCTGGTGCAAACCATGGCATACATGAGACTACTAGCAGATGCATAAGGAACATTAGCCATATCTGCTTTCTCATCCTCTGATCTTGGAGACTGATCTTTGGTAAGCCTGAAATGACTTCCCAAAGGTGTGTTCCTGGGTTTTGTCTTCTCATCATTCATCTTGAATCTTTCTAACACTTTCCCGATGTATTTCTCCTGGGATAGTGTCAAAGAGCCATCTTTCGTGTTTCTAGCAATACTCATACCGAGTATCTGTTTGGCTGGACCCAAGTCTTTCATCTCGAATTCTTCAGACATTTGCTTCTTTAACTTGCTGATCTCTTTCATATCCGCACCTGCAATCAACATATCATCTACATAGAGAAGTAGAATGATATAGGAGCTCTTGAATTTCTTCACATAACAACAATGGTCCATTTTACATTTTCTGTACCCGGCCTTCTCCATGAAGTTATCAAACTTCAGGTACCATTGCCTGGGTGCTTGTTTCAAACCATACAAGCTCCTTTTCAGTTTGCAAACCCAGTCTTCTTTACCAGCAATCTGAAAACCCTCAGGTTGTGCCATGTAAATTTCCTCATCAAGGTCACCATGTAGGAATGCTGTCTTGACATCTAGTTGCTCTAGATGTAAGCGTTCTGCAACTACAATACTCAAAACCAATCTGATGGTGGTCATTTTCACCACTGGAGAAAAGATCTCATTGTAATCAATCCCCTTTTTCTGTTGAAAACCCTTGACCACTAAACGGGCTTTGTACCGTTTAGATCCATCATGCTCTTCCTTGATTCTGAAAACCCACTTGTTCTGCAACGCCTTTTTATCATGCAGAAGCTTGGTTAAAACCCAAGTTTTGTTCTTRTTCAGAGATCCCATTTCTTCTTTCATTGCACGCTCCTACTGCAACGAATCTTTCTGCTTAATAGCTTCAGAATAACTTTCTGGTTCACCATTCTCAGTCAAAAGAAGATAATTGACTGATGGATTGTATTTTTCAGGAGGCCTAGAGACT